GGGAGCAACTTTCTCTGACCAAGCAGGTTATGTATTTGTTCCCATCCCATCGTTATCAGGCCCTGAAGGTCCTGTGCACCAAGTACCAAACCAAATAGATTTCTTCTTTTTCTGTCTGCCAACCTCAAGGTTCTCGGGCACTAGGCCTGTTACTCCCTTCCCTCATCAGCCTTGAAGATCCCAGGCACCCAGCCAGTCCTGTCACAGAGCAGAGAAGCACAACAGCACAGAGTGCACTGTCCACAAAATCAAGCAATTGCAACTTCTAAGGGGGAACTGGGACTGGAGCTGCTGCTGGACAGCGAGATTCAGGATCCCTCTGGGCAGGGACACCTCTACCACAGCTTGTTTCCTCCCAAGACTAAGAGAGTGACTCATATTCTTTGATATTATTTTTGAGTCTATGTTATGATCATTATATTGATACAGAAAACCGTGTATTTAGATTTGACCCGATCTGCAGAGGGTGCGGGCGATTAGAAAACTTGCATTAGAATGTAGGTGACTAGAAATTGTAAGTTAAGTTGTACAATAAACCCTGTATTACAATGCTTATAGACTGACTACATTGATTCTGCTTGTACAAAATCTGTGCCATCCTAAACCACAAACTCTGTGCTGTGCCAAACATAACATAGTAAGAAATCAGATTTCAAAAAGAATGTAACTGAAACCATGATTTAGTGCCATCATTGTTCTGCCAAGGATCCCTAAAAGAACCTATGTATCCCCTCAATGTTGAATGACACTGCTGTGTGCCCATACTTGTTTTCCAGGCCATCCACATAGATCTTCCTCCTGCGACGACTGTCCTGAGCTGACTGCTTGTTCCGGATCTTACGACGCACTTTTCTCAGAATTCGCTCTTCAGCCTGCAAGGGTCATTTCTTGTTAACAGCAACCCCAGGGTGCAGGCAATCCCACCCACCCAAACCCCGCACACATCTCAGGGTCCAACCCGAACCCTTGTGTCTTCTGTCCCTCCCACACCACCGAATGAACTGCAAGGCAAACTCTGGCCTGCTGATGCAGCCAGCAGCTTCCAAGGTGTAGCAAAAGGGAAGCAGACCAAAGGGAAATGAAAAACACGTAGCTCACAAGCCACTAGTCAGAAAAAAAACAGGGTTGGAGGTATTTGTGGTGTATCTGCCTCCTGCAAGCAGTCATGAGTGTGGAGACTCACAGCAGCCAGGTCTCATTGGTCTTTTATCCACCTGACTAGCAAAGCAGAAGTTGCTGTGCACATGGACACCCCCGGACTTGAAAGGAGGAAAAGGACACCCAGTCCTGATGGACAGTACCCTGAACACAGCACCTGGACACCAATATTCTCATCAAGGCACTGTCCTGTGTTCTCAAACCCCCTGCACTAGCTGACATACTCAAGTGATCCAAGTCTGTTTGACTCTAGCAAGGACTCACTTTGGTCAGCGGCAGACACGTTGGTAATGTAACACCTTCTTTCTCCAGAAGCTGCTTTTCCTCCTCTGTCAGGACCAGCTCTGGGAAATCAGACTAGAAAACAGCAAAAATACACACGCTGAGAATGCAAAGTAAAGGGCAGGGAGGGCATGTAGCAAACACATAGAACTGAGATCAGCTCTCCCAAAGTAGCATCATGCTTTCCCTCAGAGATATGCCTCACAGGAGCCAAGCCAGAAGACGAGGGATGTGACCAAAAGCAAAGGCTGGGGACCACAGGCATGGCAGTCAATACCTGCACAATGGCTCCAGGCACAAGCTGGGGTTCAGAATCCACATCAACAGCAATGGGGGAACTGGAGCCCTGTTCCAGTGCCTTGCTTGTGCTGTCCAAACCCACCCATGTTCCTGGGGAAGGAAAGGAGAATCAGGTACTGGGCTTTAGTGAGGCAGCACCTAATTAACCATAATTTTATGGCAACAGAAAGCCTCTGAACTTGGCTCTCTCCAGTGTCGGGTACCCACCCAAAAAAACCTCCATATGAGACTACTTTTCAGCCTGTATCCAGGACAGAAAGAGACTACACACATCACTCACCCAGCTCAATAGTAACATCTCCTTCTGCCACGTCAGACCTCACGCTTTCCAGCACAGGCCAATGGAGAGAATAGTTGTGATCAACCTGCACAATGTCTCTGTTGGCAAAACTGCTGCCAGGGCAAGGGGACAGATGCTGATCCTCAGAAATGCTGCTGTCACTGCTGGCAGCCAAATAATCGAGCATGCCTGGTTCATCTTCTAAGGGACTCAGCAATGAGCTGATGAAGTCATCCATCTCCTTGTCCAGGAGCTGCAGAGGAACGGCTTTTACTCAGCAAGGATACAAACCTCCTGAACCTCAACTCAGCAGCGATTTCTCCCAGAGAACTCACCTCAGGTGTTGGTAGGACCCAGTCTTCCAGCAGACCATTCTGCTCCTCTGGGATTTCAGGGCAGGAAGCATCATCCTTCAGGAGAAAGTCAAGCAGATCCACATCTGCCAGGGCATCCAGTCCCTCTGGACATGACATCTGAACAAGACACCCAATGTGAGTACAGACACAAGGAGAGACACCAGCACTGCTTCGAGGTGTCCCTCAGTCCCTACAGACAGTCTCCCCATGCAATGTCAACAGCTGTCAGGGCCCTGCAGTGATGACCCATCCACAAGTACTTCCTCAACAGGCTCTCAACTGATGGTCCCTACATGCCAGTTTCCCCACGGGGCTGCTGGGACCCAGCCATAGGAGCCATGTCCCACCCAGAACACAAAAGCTGTAGGAAGGAGAGGAAAAGCTAAACAGCCCCAGACTTTCTGGTATGGAAAGCATGCAAGATCCTGCTATTCCACAGAGGCCAAAAAGTGCCAAATCCCACACCGTGCAGCCAACAGGGACAGCCTCCTGTCACAGGGAATTATGCTGAGGGGTTAACTAAAGGGATTTTGCTAATAATTAGATGATAATCAAATTCTAAATAATCAATGATTGAGAGAAATTAAACAGTAATCAGATGGTGATTAAGCGATCACTGAAAAATAATTAATGTGATGTAACAAAGACTTGAATGACGATTTAGTAATTCAGGCAGCTGTCAAACACTCCACTATTTAACACACTTGTAATAATTAACAAATAGTTGGATATATATAAACGTCACTAGCACACAATATACTTTTAGGTTGAAAGTATAATGCTCCTTACCTTGCTGAAGAGATCAGAGGCTGATGAAGGGTCTCTCAGCCCTGAGGAGTGATCTGGAGAGGTGTCTCTGCTCACAGGGAGATCAGCAGCACAGCTCAGGGGGCTCAGGGAGCCACAGGAGCTGACAGGACAGAGCGACGGACTTGCAGTCAAACCCTGCCTCGGTGTCTGTGCACGTGCGCGGCTGCAGCAACTTTAGCTCTGTCTGGTCCCAGCTCAGGCTGCTGCTGTTATCTCCGGATCAGACACGGCCCAGGTGCCTCGGTCCCTGAGAAGATGCAGCCTGGCATGGCTGTCACAGAGGGCATGGCTGGGCCAGGATCAGTTGGGCCGGGATCAGCCCGGCCGGCTCGCCTGAGCCAAAGCTCCGCTCATGCCGTCAAAGTGTGGGCATCCACTGCATGTCTCCATTAGCACCGCTAAGGCTTTCACATCTAGGTGTCAGGCGTCACAGTCTAAAAAACAAAACCAGAAAAAATATAATACCGCCAAAACCACTTGGAACCCTATCCAAAACCAGAAAGCCAGGGCAGTCCCCAGCCACAGGGCTGCTGTGACGGCTGCCTCTGAGCAGGGCTGCAGGCAGAAAGTGGAGCAGCAAAAGGAAGGGGAGCTAGGCAGAGTCAGGAATGGCAATGCCAGGGCCCAGGGCTTCCAAAGACGCGGAGGGGTTTCTCCGCAGGAAGCGCGCGCCAGGCAGGCAGCACGGGCAGGACAAGAACAATGGGATAAGAAGCAGGTTGCATCAGACGGGACGGTGATTGGAGCGCAGGGGCCATTCCCCTCACCAGGAGACCCACCCTAGGGAAGGCAAGACAACTTCTCACAGCCCCGGCCGTGGGGCGAGACCCTAGACTCCGAGCCCCCCGAACCGCTATCCCCCAGCTCCCCTCACCCCCGAACCCTTGAGCCCCGGACCCCAAACTCCTGAGCCCGGGACCCCAAAACCTCTGAGCCCCGGACCATGGAACCCCTGACCACCGGACTAGATCCCAGACTCCCGAATGCCGTGACCCCAGACCCCCGCACACCACAGCCCACGACCTGGGACCACGGGCTCCTGACCACCAGATTCCGGACCTCCTGAACCCTCCCCCCGGGACTCGTGATCTCCAGACCGCTGCGCCCCCGGCCCCTTGCCGCAGGGCTCCCGGCTCCCGTCCCCCCTTCCCCCCGAGTGCTGATCCCAGCCCCTCCCGGTCCTCACCGCGGCGCCGCCGCTTCCAACGCACCGGCGGTGACGTCACTCTCCTCCCGGCGGGCCGCGCGCGCGCGCCGGCGCCGTCCGGCCGCGCTAACGTCGCGCGCGCCCATTGGTCGGGTGGGGTGGGGGCAAGGGGGGGGGCGCGTGGGCGGCACGCGGGCGGCGGGCGGGCGGGGCGGGCGGCGGAGGGTCTTGGAGGGGGACGGGGGGGCGTGTGAGCCTGGGTGGTGCCCCGCGCCCGGCGGTGTCCCCAGAGGGTGCGGTGTCAGCAGCGGTGCGTGCTCGTGGGTGGAGCACAGCCTTGGGGGGCGCGGGCGTGGAGCCGTGGCCAGCCCCCGGGGCGTCCGTGCGGGCCGCGGGGGTACCGAGCGGCGCCAGCCGCGGGAGCGGGATGCCCGCGGAGCGCGGGCGGAGCGCGGTCCCCGGGGCTCTGCTCGCGCCGCGCCGGGGAGCCCCGGGGGGCGCGCCGTGTCCCGCGCATGCGCGGCAGGGGGGCGGCGCGGCGGGAAGCGGGTGGGGCCGCCCCGCTCCGTTCCCTCAGCCTCGGCGGGGCCGTCGCGCTGCTCCTGCCCGCTCACAGGTACCGGGGACGGGGGACATGCGGCATCCTGCTCACCGGGGAGGGGCGGGCCCGCCAAGCGGGGTCCCGCGGGCCGACAGCGCCCTGGCTGCCGGGGGGCTGCCGGAAACGGATGTCCCGGGGACCCTCCCCCCGCACCCCGCCCGGTGAACGGCAGGGCGGGGGGGGGAGAGCAGGGAGGGAGCGGCTTCCCGGTTACTGGGGCCTCGCTGCTTCAGACGGGGCTTGTCCCCGGCGCTGCGGTAACCCGGGGGCTTCCGGGATTCACTCGGGCTTTGGGGCGTGCCCCCATCGCCCCCGGGGCGGGCGGCTCCCGCGCACCGACGGCCGCCGGAGGCCGCGGGGCGGCACGGGCAGGCGCGGCCGCCGTATTCCCGGCTGCGGTATTCCCGGCCTTGTCCTTGCCCTGCCCCGCCGGGGCAAGGCCCGGAGTTCGCGCTGGCCAGGCTCGGGCCAGCATCCCCGCCTCGGGGGTCCCCGAGCGGGACCAGCCCGGCCGCGGACACCGGCCCAAGGACCGGGGTGCGAGCTCTGGGCCGGGCCGGGCCCGGCTTTGCCGCACCGCCCTGCCCACCCTGCCGGGGCGCGTGGGAGAGCGGGTGGGAAGAGTGTCTGCATCCCGCTGCGTGGTTTTGGGTGGGGACGCGAGCGGACACCCTCCCGTGGCCGCACCGAAGCCGGGGAGGTCACTACAGCAGCTCCCACCGGAACGGACATCTGGACATGGACCCCCGGGATGGGGCGCTGGAGTGGGACTCGTGCAGGGTGGGACTGGCCCCCATCGGGGAAAGGCGTGCGTCCCCACCGTGTCCCGGTTGGAGCAGCTAACCAGGCAAGGGAAACCCTGCCCCATCCTCTGCCTGTTCCCTGCCGGATCCTGCCCGCGCCCCTGCAAGCTCCCCGTCCCTTTGAATCTGCCGGCAGGATGTCTACATGCTTCTGCCGTGCCTTCATCGCTGGCTGTTAGACCCATATTTGGTAGCAATAATTGTTTACTCCCTTCTTCTCTCTCCCGGAGCCTCGCTGCTCAGAAGGGGAGGGGACATATTTTTCGGATTTTTATCTTTATCGGAACCTGTGAGTTGCCCAGTAAAGGGTTTGAACCCCACATCTCCCCCCACAGAACATGGGGTGAAACGCCCCAGGTGCTAAATGAGCCGTTCATGGTGCGTGAGGAGCACCGGCCAAGTGTGCAAGTTGCTGAACAGCAGCAGAAGGAATTTGGTGCTTCCCGAAGTGACACGTCCCAGCAGATTTAGGGAAGGGGAGTGAGAAAGCTGAGTAAGAGAGAATGGGGACCTGTGGGGCACCCTTGTTTCCGGAACTGAGCTTTGCTGGCCACTGGGTGGAAAAGACCCTAAAAACTCAGCCCCGTTCTCCTCTTGCTTTCCCCTTTCTGCCTGTCCGGCAGTGCAGTGCTGGGCAAGTCACTTGCCCTGGGAAGCATATGTGCCTGGATCAGGGTACCTAGTGGTTTCCACAGGTCGTGAGAGCACCCAGTGCACCCCAGCACCTGCTTTTTGGGTCCTGTGCCAGAGGCCCAGCTCACGAAGAACTCAGCAGAGGCTGTAGCTGGAGTCCCCCTTGTCCCCATGCCTGCCTTGGCAGTGGGCAGTCTGGAGGTGCCACAGTTTTTGCTCCATCCCTTTGGAGGGCAGGGGATGTCCACAGGAGCAGACAGGCCTGAGGGTGCATGTGAAACATGGGCAGTTAAAGGCCAGAGCTGGTTCAGCTCATTGCAAGCGAGCAGGCAGGAGGTGACGGCTGTGATCCCCCAGCCCAGCTGCCCGTCGGCTGCCCATTTCCCACGCAGAGCAGGGCTGCTTCCCTGTGAGGGTGAGAGGATGCTCCTGTCCCAACCATGGGTGACAGCTGAGTGGTCACAGGGGTGCTGTGTCTGGCCTTGCCAGCTGCTCATGCTCCCCAAGCTCATGCAAGCTTGGCCTCAGCAGAAGAGAAGAAACTGCTTTCCCATCTGACATGTACGTGCAGCTGGGAAAGAGGAACTGGGCAGAGCATGTGGCACCATCGCCAGCTGGGGCTGCTGGCTCAGCCTTCCCGTTCCCGTGTCTGCCCCCAGTGCCTTCTGTGGCTGCGTGTACTGGTCCCATACTGGGGAACCCAGCTAGAGCCTGGTCCAGCTTCTTACTAGCTTAATTTTGACCCATTTGATTGTGTAGATGCCAACATACCAGCCAAGCCACTGCTGACAGGCATTGCATTTTGGATGCTTGCTACCTGCCTGGCTGTGCCAGTGGCCATAGTGATGGGGCCCCATGTCTGTGGAAAACCCTGGCACTGTGGTGGTTTGCAGGTAATAAAGCTTTCTGCAGTCCAGAGGTGGTCAGGAGTGGGGTCTTTCCCAGGTGAAATTGGGTATTGCTGTAAAGAAAAAAAAACAACCCTCAAACCTCATCTGGAGTATCCCTTAGAAAGGGCGTATTAAAAATGGCAAAATTGTTGCATTTGAAGATTTTTCATCTTGTTCTAGAAACTCGCCACGAGCGTTCCAGCAGGCTGCAGCTGAATTTTGGTTGATTTTTTTTTTTTTTGGTCATTTTAAGACACAAACCCTCCTCTGTAGCCGTTACTGCAGCACTGAACTCGGCCGACACAAATATAGCAGTTACGTCACGTGACGGAAAACTCGCTGTCAGTGGTCCCAGCAGAGACATAGTGGCTCCTCAGGCCGGCACAGTGCTGCCTGCACTGACCCTGCCTGTGCTGACCCTGTCCTTACACCTCCACCACTGCTTTGGTTTTGTTCACCTATTGTGGGGTGAGACGGGAGGAAGCCGCAACAACTCCTCAGGGAAGTGGTGGGACCCCACCAAGGCCTCCTTCCCACCCCCTCATTGTTTTGGGATCAGCTGAGGAACGTGCCTGTGGTTCAAAGGGTTGCACTCAGCTTGGTGTAAAATGCAGAAGTGTGTTAATCCAGCTGCTCCGATGCCCTTTGCATAGTGACAACTGATTGCAAATGGATGCGCTTGCTCTGGAGGTGAGACAGCACAGAAATCTGGTGTGTGTTCATCAAGACTTGGTTTGTTTGGGGTTTTTTGGTTTTTTACTTTCCAGGGGAACAGCTTGAATTTCACTGTCCTTTTATTTTTCTGGTTTGTGCTGCCAGGCTCCCACGCTGTCTCATCCGTTATGTCTAGTCCAGCTTTTCCTTCCCCACGCGGTTCCCAGCAGGGAGAGGTCTGCAGGGGTTGAGCCCTGAATTGGTGCCCTCAGAGCAGGCAGAGGATTTGCAAACCTCATGTGATTAATTGCCACATTTGCTGACAAATCTCTCCAGGGTTTCAGGAGGTGTCCTTCATGCAGCAGGGAGCATTTCGGCTTTAGACGCTGCTGTCAGCAAAGTTCAGCTGCTGGAGCCTGAACTTTTTCCACAGAATATGGGAATTAAAGTGAACCACCTACCCTTTCTCTGAGGTCTTCCTTGATGTTGTCAGCATCTTCCCTGCCTAGCTCTGTCGTTTTTGTAAGAGTTTGAGAGTGGGAAGGCTTGAGCAGTCACCTTCCCCATCTTCCTGTGAGGTCTTGGAAAGCATGATGGCCCTTGTGAAGGGTGTGCTAAGGGGTACCAGTGGTGCAGTGCTGGATTTTGGGTGACTTTGGGAGGGCAAGAAGAGGATGCAGAAATGGCAGCCTGGCTCCTCTCAGTTCCTCTCTACTGTCCGGCGTCCTCCCCTCCCCTTCCTCTATGGTCTCTGACCTTGTCGTGGCGGTGGCATGTTCTCCTTTTCCTGCAGAGAGATGGAAAGCAGCTTTATGCTCAACTTGAGAATATTTTTAGATATAGAGAAGTTGGCCTGGTGACCGCAGCAGCCCGCCCTGCATATAAAATACTTGGAAAACCCTTTCCATGACAGGGTGTTCCTCGTTTGTTCAGCTCACAGTTTTGCTGGTGCTTCTGGAGAGATGGCAATGGCATGGGCGGGTGCCTCTGCCACCTCATTCCCTGTGCCGATGGGCTCCCTTGCTCCGGACCCGAAATGCATTTCATTCCTCAGCAGCGGAGACAGTGGGGGCCACGGGCCTCCGCAGAAACATTGCAGAACGGCTCAGGAATGCAGAGCTGGAGCGGCTCCATGTGCTGGCGGAGGCGGCACGCTCCTTGGTCCCTGCCTCCCACTCCGCATGCTGGTGAGCATGGCTCCCTGGTTCTGCAGGAGCAGAGCCCCTGCCCTCTGACTCCTGGCCAAAACTGGATGCAGATCCTGCCCCTAGTCAGCTCAGGACAGTGTTTGGGAACAGCCTCCACTGATGTACCCCATTCCAGGGGACGAGTTGGCAGCGCTGGGCAGGGATGCACAGACTCACTGTGGGCTGCTGCAGTGCAAGGAAGGCTGCCAGCACATTTTGCCCAAGAACCTTCCCAGGCCAAGCTGAGGATGCACGATAAGCTTTCCCTGACAGCCTTAATAGGAAGCCTGGTAGGAGCAAATCAATCTAAAAGAGAACACGCAGATGTGGTGCATCCCACACTGTATCCTCCCACCACTGGGGTTTAAGGACAAGGCAGCTTGAGTCGGCAGAACAGGGGGACTCCTCCTAGTGAGCAGTCTCTGAGAGAGAGGAAAAGGCATGTCACTCCTGGAGAGCATCAGGTTGGGGCCTGATGCTTCAGGCTGGACCAAGCTTGGTTGCTGTTTCAGATGGTGTGGTGCTGCTCTGGCATGCCCTTGCCATGGCTGGTCCCTTGCCCTCCTATGCATCATCCTGTGCACAGGCTCCCCAGCCCTGGGTTTGTGCCAGTAGCTGCTGCCCCAGACCCTGATCTCTGAGCACTCCCTGGGTGTGAGTGGTGCTTTCCACAGGTAATTGTATTTAACATGTGAGGTCTGTCCCTGGTGCCCTTATCTTGCCTCCCTGAGCAGCTTCAGGCTTTTCCGTCCCTCTATGCTCAGGGTGCCAGCTCAGCATGCTCTGCTGGTGGCATGGAGGGCCCTGATAGCTGGGGCAGGGGCCTGCCAGCTCTGGGTCAAAGCTTGGTTTTCCTCTTGTGGCTTCTGTGTCATCACAGGTTTAATTATAACTCCTTCCATCGTGCTCTCCCACAGTTTTTTATCTCGTGTTCTCCCGCATGCTCACTTCCTCCTCTCTGGCAGCATCTCCGCTGGGTACCAGCTGCTGTCACTCCAGCAAGTGAGTAAAATTGCCTTTGGGACCTTGGCATGAGGAGGCGAGGGTCCCAGTGCTGGCTGGACATCCCAGCATCTGGAAAGTGGGATCCTCTCACAGGCTCACCAGCACAGGGTGCTTGCCAGTAGAATCTGGGTCCCAGTTTTCAGGGAGCAGGGGTGCCGCTGGAGGAGGAGGAGGAAGGACTCTGTACACCGGAGGGGTCAGCAGCCACAGCTCACCCGTCCGTGTCCTCCGGCAGGTGACGCAGGAGTGGGGACAGCCCAGCCGCCACCATGGTTGCCCTCTCGCTGAAGATCAGCATTGGCAATGTGGTGAAGACGATGCAGTTCGAGCCCTCCACCATGGTGTACGACGCCTGCCGCATGATCCGTGAGCGGGTGCCCGAGGCCCAGATGGGACAGCGTAAGTCCGTGGTGGGACTGGCTGCCGTGCCTTTGGCATTTCACTGGTCTCCCTTTTCTCTTCTGTCTGTGCCTCTCTGGCGCTTTCCCAGAGAAGTGGTGGGGTGGAGGGAGCAAAGTCCAAGTCCTCCTGCGTGGTTGAGGTGAGGGTCTGAGCTTCTTAGGCTCCCTCCTTGACACCCCAGAAGAAATCTGGGGCTTTGGAAGGTAGGAAACCGCATTTGGAAGTGAAATATTCGTGAAGCAATTTGAGCCTGTTGCCCTTTTTGTCTCTGCTCCTCTGTCCTACTTGCATTCATCACCACTAGCCAGGACTAGGTGGGTTTAAACAGTTGCAAGGGTCATTACAAACATTAATAAGCATTTAAGTTAAATTTTTTCTTTCTTGGGGGATGTATAGTCTCCACTGGCTCTGTCCACCACTAGCAGCTCTCTGCGAGACCTGGTGCTGGTGCTCCCTTACCTTTCTAAGCCTTCTCAGCTCTAGCACTTTCCTGCTGCTGCTGGGCTCCCAATTAAGCCTATGGCTCATGACGTGACTCATGCCCACGCGGATGTGACCTGTCCCCATCATGGGTGGGGGGGTTGGAGCTCTGGGACGCCGTCTCAGAGGCTCTCCTGGGTCCCTGCAACCCCTGAAAGCAGCTGTGCCACGGGGGAGAGACAGCAGAGAGGAGGTCAGGAGTCGTGGGAAGAGGAGGGGAAGTGCTGCGACATCTGGGAGCTGCAAATTCCTTGAGGATGAAAGGAAATGCCTTCTCGCACCATGCCCAGCTGGTCAGCAGTCCAGCAGACCATGGCTTTCAGTTACAGAGAGGGACTGGATGTCTGTGGATGCAGGGCTATACTGGTGTTGGAAGGAGCATTGCACTTCCTGCTCCTGGGTGTGAGCCAGCCTGTTTATAAAAAACCATCAAGGCAAAAGCCTTAAAGGGAACTTCTTATTCCCAAGTTTGTTTTCAGTTTCTTACAGCTTTTCTTCTCCTATCTTCCTTGCAGCTTTTGTTTCTCTTTGTTCTCCTTAAACACTGGCACTCTGGCTCCCTTTTTGAGCTGCCCTGGTTTTTTGTCACCTTTGGGCTGGAGGAGCTTCAGTGTAAGTTTCCAGCTCTGCTGTTGCTCTGTCTCAGGAAGTGCCTCTCCCCGCCCAGCCTATGGATCTGGGACAAGCTGCTCAGTTTTCAGTGCTTTAGAGTTATCCTCTTGGAATTTGCTTTGAAAACAGTTTGGGGTTTTGTTGGTTTTTTTTTTTTACTTTAAAAATAAAATGGCAAGCCTCCGTGGTTTTTCAGCTCCCTGTTTAGTAGGATCCTTAACGGCAGTGTTAGCCAGGCAGGCGCAGGGCAGCTCAGGAATTTGTCCCTCCCCAAAGAGAGCTGCCAACAAGATGACGAGTTATAAACATAGCCAACCAAGACAGCCTGCGGCACAGAGTTGTTGCAGAGGTGGAGAAGGACCTTTCCAGGGCACAACCAGGCGTGGCCCTGGCCTCTAGCAGCATAAAAATGCGGTTTGAGCTGAGGTGCCACTGCCCAGGCTCCAGCAGCAGCACTTTCACCAGCCCCAGGGGAGCAGGATTTGGTGAACAGCAATTATTCACCACCTCTGACACCTCATCCTCCTTCATCCTCCTCCTCCACAGAGGAGTCCCAGCAATTCTCATCCCGCACACCAAAGTTCCATCATTTAAATTGCCTCTGTCTGCATCCTTTCAAACTCTTCTGTGTCCTGGGGAGATGCAGACCTCACCACCACAAAGTACTCAAGGTGTCAATTGCCTAGATTGTATATACCAGTTCCCAGCACCCTTCCTGGTGATCCAAGACTTTATTACCTTGCTTTCACCACTACTACACATTGCACTGAAGATTTTGGAGAGCTGTCAACCACAACTGCAAGCTCTCCCTTCTGTGGTGTCTGTCAGTTCCAAGTTGGGCATTGTGTAGGCATGCTTCAGATGATTTTTTCCATAGATAACTGTGGTAAAACGTGCACCTCGGAGCTTGCTTGCCAGCTTTGTTACCCACTCGTTGGGTTTAGGCTCCAGCTTTCACAGTGCTGCTGTGCTTCACGCACTGGGCTGCACTGATGCACATCCCTGGGCACAGACTGGCATCTTGGTGGCCCTGTCCTTCTCAGGACTCCCCTGGCAGAGACTTTACCTGTTTTTCAGCCAATGATTTTGGGCTGTTCCTCTCGGATGAAGACCCAAAGAAAGGAATCTGGCTGGAGGCTGGGAAGGCCCTGGACTACTACATGCTTCGCAATGGGGTAAGTGTCCATCCCACATCCTTCCAGCCTTGGCTGCACAGTTGGATGTGCCCACAGTGTGGAGATGGTGTGGGTGCCTGCCCTGCTGCCTTCCATCATCTTCTGCAGCACACTATGTCCCCCCACAATTCCACTGGGCATTTGGGAGCTGTTGGCATGACGGTGGGATGTGGGTTCCACCACTGGGAGCTGTGCTCTGCTGTACCTTCAGGATACCATGGAATACAAGAAGAAGCAGCGGCCCCTGAAGATCCGCATGCTGGATGGGACAGTGAAAACGGTGATGGTGGATGACTCCAAAACTGTCACGGACATGCTCATGACAATCTGTGCCCGAATTGGTGAGAGGAGAGGGCAGCAACAGGGGGAAGAAGGGAGGTGGGGAGAGATGGCAGCATCTGACGGGCTACTGGGGGAGTGGCAGCAGCTCTGCAGCAGATGGCCTAGCAGCATGGGTGTCCAAGGGGTGCTTGGGGAGGGCACACTGAGGAGGGCACACTGTTCAGCACCTCTGTGTTGCTCCGTGCTTTGTATTTGGCAGCAAAATCATGCTGAGTTTGGTTCTCTGCTCTTCTGCAGGCATCACAAACTATGATGAGTACTCGCTTGTTCGGGAGATTATGGAAGAGAAGAAGGAGGAGGTTACTGGCACCCTCAAGAAGGACAAGACCCTGCTGCGAGATGAGAAGAAGATGGAGAAGCTCAAGCAGAAATTGCACACAGATGACGAGCGTAGGTGCCTGGATGTGCTGGAGATGGGGTCAGGCTGTGCTGAGGGCAATGAGGAGGGGAGCAGGGAACCCCCTGCAAGGGGAAGAGCCAGTCGGGGGAGGGGAGAGGACTATAATGAGGGAATGTGTGCACACACCTCCTGGAGTGTCTCCTGCCTGGGGGCCCAGGAGAGAGGGGTGAGAGCCAGGATGCACGAGGCGGGCATCCATTCCTCACTCCTCACGAGCAGCCCCAGGGCCAGGACCAGCCCTGCCTCAGCGCCTGTCCCTCTGCTTATGCCTTGGCATTGCCTGCAGTGAATTGGCTGGACCATGGCCGGACCCTGCGCGAGCAAGGCATTGACGACAATGAAACGCTGCTGCTGCGGCGCAAGTTCTTCTACTCTGACCAGAACGTGGACTCGCGAGATCCTGTGCAGCTCAACCTGCTCTACGTGCAGGTACAGCTTCCCAGGGCACCTGGCTCCACTGCCAAGTGCCAGCCCCTGGAGGAGCCACCATGGGGGGTACTTCAGGATACCCAGTTATCTCCTGGGTAAGAGCCAACACTGGCAATCCTAGCCCTGCCCTCTGTGTACTCCAGAGCTCCCCAAGGAATCCCGTGTCAGCTGTCGGGTAGGAATCATCCTGAAGTGCTGCTGCTGTTTCTCTCCCAGGCTTGATGCTGTTCCCCATAGGGGACAGCCTGGTCCCAGATCCTCCTGTTTTTCAGGGCAATTTCTTTTAACTCTGGAAAACATGTTGTACTTGGTGTAGGGGGGAGCAGTGGCAGGGCTGCGTGGCTGCCCAGCTCACAGCAGTGTCTTCTATTCCCACACAGGCTCGTGACGACATCCTGAACGGTTCCCACCCTGTCTCCTTTGACAAAGCCTGCGAGTTTGCTGGCCACCAGTGCCAGATCCAGTTTGGGCCACACAACGAGCAGAAGCACAAGCCAGGCTTTCTGGAGTGAGTGTCCTGAGGAGCCCCTGGGCTTTGTCTTGAAGGGTCTGGAGCAGCTTGGCAGCACCCAGCACCACACTGCCCTGTGGGGCTCCAGGGGTTTGGTTGCCTGTGGCGCAGCCCCTCTCCTCCTTACAGCACAGTGCCCAAGTGTGGAGATCCACACCAGCCACAAGGTGTGCCAGCCCCCTATCCTGCCATCCTGCTCCCTCTGGCACCCCTGCAGGGACATGCAGCAGCTCCAATGGGGGTCCCCAGCCCACCATAGAGCCCGCCCTGATGCCACACAAAGGGCTGCATCCTAAGCACCTCCACCCCACTCTCAGCTAGGGCATCTCCAAGGACAGCTTTTGTAGCTGCAACAACCTCTCCCGCATCCTTCCTGCTCCCAAAGACTCTCAGCTCATGCCCTGGCAGGTGTTTGTCTGAGGCTTTGGGTTGGGCATCCTCGTAGTCAAAGACAGGTGCTGACTTTGGGCTCTCTGCTAACCGGCTCGCCTGTCTCTTGGCAGGCTCAAGGATTTCCTGCCTAAGGAGTACATCAAGCAGAAAGGGGAGCGCAAGATCTTCATGGTATGTGCAGCAGGGAGGTTGAAAGCTGGGCTTTTTGTTCCTCCTCACTAAAGGCTGAGGCTGCTACTGTCACGGAAGGCAGCACATAGCAGTGTGGTGGGAAGGAAACAGGAGCAGGAGCTGTAGGTGGGCAGACAAGGCAACTCCTGAGATATACCAGAGATCAGAGGGATGCTGTAGCAGGGGATGCTGGTGGGGTAGGGAGAGCCTGGAAAGGCTGTGGAATGGTGGCACTAGCAGGACTATGAATCCTGGTGCAATGTTCTGTCTTTGCTGTCACAGGCCCACAAGAACTGCGGGAACATGAGCGAGATTGAGGCCAAAGTTCGCTATGTGAAACTTGCCCGTTCCCTCAAGACCTACGGGGTCTCCTTCTTCTTGGTCAAGGTAGAGCAGCAGCCCCCCTGGTCCCACTTCTCACCAACCAAAATTCCTCCTCTTCAGCATCCCTCCCTCTGTTGTGCCTCCAGCTACTACCCCTCAACTCACATTGTTCCAGTTTTCCTTACATCTCCACTGTCCACCTCTCCTTCATGCCTTTCCCCGTGCAATGCCTTCCTACTCCTGGGTTCACACTTTTTCTCCTTTTCAAGCTCCATGTGGTGGTTGTCACCACTGGAAAGCATGGCCTTGGGAGTGTTTGGTAGCCATAACAGGCCACAAAGGTCTCTGCCTGGATAGATCCATCCTGGGGGTAGCCCACAGCCCTTGTGTTGTGGCCCACAGGAGAAGATGAAGGGGAAGAACAAGCTGGTGCCACGGCTGCTGGGGATCACCAAGGAGTGTGTGATGCGTGTGGATGAGAAAACCAAGGAAGTGATTCAGGAGTGGAGCCTGACCAACATCAAGCGTTGGGCAGCCTCACCCAAGAGCTTCACCCTGGTAGGGACCAGCACTTGGTCCTCCACGTTCCCTCCCTGTTGGTGCCCCCGTGGGGGGCTACTCTCACTTAGCCCCCCTCTTGGGTATTGCCCCACGGTGGCACAGCCCTGCCATCCTCTGGGGCCTCTCCCAGCTCTTGTTTCAGAGGCTGGCGCTCGGGTGCTTAGCGCATACCAGAGGGGCTCAGGGTGGCCGCCAGTGCCCTGCTCCGGTGCTACCCTGTGCCCTGCTGTTGCAGGATTTTGGAGATTACCAGGATGGTTACTACTCAGTGCAGACGACGGAGGGGGAACAGATCGCCCAGCTGATTGCTGGCTACATAGATATCATCCTGAAAAAGGTGAGGCTGTGCTGAGGAGAGCACTAATAACCAGATCCTCCCTGGAGAGGGGTGCAGGGTGCCCCTTCCAACTGCTTCCAGACAGCCATTGGCACATGGTACTGCTGAAAGAGCTGGAGATGGGGCAGGGGAGCTCTGCAGCTCTGGTACAGTGTCTGGGCTGCAGGAGGAGGGGAAGGTTTGGAGGTATGTGCTGTCTGACACTTCTCTTTCCCTCCACAGAAAAAGAGCAAAGACCACTTTGGGCTGGAGGGGGATGAGGAGTCCACCATGCTGGAAGATTCTGTGTCTCCAAAGAAGTAAGTCTTCCAGGAGCAAGACAGTTACCAAACAGAAGTTGAATGGAGAGGGGGCTCCAGCCAAACTTGCAGGACAGGATATCTGGAGAAAGAGCTGGCGGTCCTTTGGTGCCAGCTCTCCCGGAGAGCCTGGTTCTGTGCCCATGGGCATTGCTTCACCTGGTATTTCTTCCCCTTTCAGGTCGACAGTCTTGCAGCAGCAGTTTAACCGTGTAGGCAAGGCGGAGCTGGGCTCAGTGGCCTTGCCAGCCATCATGCGGACGGGGGCTGGAGGGCCAGAAAACTTCCAGGTGGGCACGATGCCGCAGCCTCAACTGCAAATCACCAGTGGCCAGATGCACCGAGGGCACATGCCTCCCCTGGTAAGCTCTCCCAGTGCTCACCACAGGACACAAACTCTGAGAGGTGCCTGTTGGTCTTATGCAGACCTGTTCATTTGGGTCTGTGGCCAGGCATTGCCTTCCTGGAAGGGCAGGGGCTCTGTGCCGCTGGTGTCATGGGCCTGCTGAGCTGGCATACTCCTGCACCCCCCTCTGCAAACTTGAGCTACACCCCAGCATTTTCCCCTGGCAGGCAGCTGCAGCCTCTCCTTCAGGTTGTGCCTGGACAACCCCACTAGTGCTTTGGTTTGCAACAGAGCCCAGCTAGTTAACTGTGAGACTTGCTTGTACCTATGGTGGGATGTGGCATTTCCCAATGGGAGTTGCAGAGCAAGTTCCCCTTCTTGTTAAGTGTACCTCACTTTGTGGAGACCTACCTAGAGCACTGTCATCAACGGCACGTTGCAGGGGAGCAAATTATTTAAGCCTAGATTTCCAGCCTTCAGCATACCTCGGTCTGTCTCTGTGTTTGCAGACCTCAGCCCAGCAAGCTCTGACTGGCACCATCAACTCAAGCATGCAGGCTGTGCATGCAGCTCAGGCCACGCTGGACGACTTCGAGACCTTGCCACCCCTCGGGCAGGATGCTGTGAGTGCCAGGTGGACGTGGTGTGCTGGGGGTGGACCTTGCTGGAGGTTGTTAGGTGGGCTGGGTGAGGCTGGTCACATTCCCAGGAGAAGTGCCAGCAGCTCCTGGAAGATCTGCTGCCTGAAAAGAGATGGCGTCGCCAGGTATGGGTGCTGAAGGAGAAAATGAGACTGCACACACAGAGTCTGATTTCAGGTCTTGCCCCCTGACACTTTTCGGCGTTCCCCTTTTATTCATAATCTCTCATAAACAGCACCTGGAGTTTTTCCTTTAGTTAACTGGAATTCCCAGGATTGTCCCAAACCAGTGCCTTGATGCCACACATTTACACTTGCATCGAGTGGTAGCTGTGTTCAGCCATGAGAGAAAATCACACGCTTATGCAGGCTGGTTAAAGTGGTTTTCCACTTTGAGACATAACTTTCTCTCCCTCAAAGCACTTAGCCAAGGTCAATCCTCCCTTTTGATTCCGATTAACTAAATGCAGGTGCAGAGTGACTGAGCTTGTTCCCACAGTATCCCACCCTGCGGGCAGATATGGAGGGGACATTTGACTGTGTTGCTTGTTCAGAATGGACTGGAGAGTTTTGGGTGGTCACAGGTCTTCCTTGTCTTTTCTTTATATCCTCTTCCCTGTGTTCTTCTGTATGAGCATGTGTGCTGCTACCCACCACCTCTGCCACCATCTCCTGATCTTGTTCTCCCCATTTCAGGCATCCAAAGCTTGGCGCAAAAACAAAATGGATGAGTCTAAGCATGAGATCCACTCCCAAGTGGATGCTATCACTGCTGGCACAGCCTCAGTGGTCAACCTCACTGCAGGTATGTGGAGGGTTGGAGAAGAGGGATGCCCCAGTTCTGGAGAAGGCTCTCTGTTGTTTGGTTGAAGGACAGGGCTCCTGCCCTGCATCATAAACTGGAGGTGCCAGCCTGCCCCAGCTAGAAATAAATCAGCCCCAAAGGCTGCTGATATCCCTGTAGAGCTGGCCATCCTCCACAGCTCACCTGGCTTTTAGACCCCTGCCTGTGCTCTGCCCAGTCCTTCCTTCCGGCCCCTATTTGACCAGCCATGATCTGGACCAGAAGCATGTTGCCCGGTCTGTGCCATAGCTTGAGGCATAGCCATGGCACAGTGCAGCTCCCTTTCCCCAGGCTCTCCTGCCAAATCTCAGCTGATACAGCAACCTTTCAGGCTCAGGAGCCAGAGGGTCTCTCCCCCTGCTCCTGGAAAGAAAAACCACATCAGTGACAGGTGTGTGGATGCTCTTGGAGCATCACTTGAAGTGCATCCCATCTTATCTTGTCTCCTTCCTGGGCAGGGGATCCAGCAGACACGGACTATACCGCCGTGGGCTGCGCTGTCACCACCATCTCTTCCAACCTGACGGAGATGTCCAAGGGCGTGAAGCTGCTGGCTGCGCTGATGGAAGACGAGGGAGGGAATGGGCGGCAGCTTCTGCAGGCAGCCAAGAACCTGGCCAGTGCCGTCTCAGACCTGCTGAAAACAGCACAGCCTGCCAGCGCTGAGGTGGGGGGCAGGAGTGGCTGTGGGGCCAAGGGGAAGGGGGAAGCTGAGTGGAACCATTGAGTGGGGTTTTAGGGTTTGCTCACTGGCCCGGTGTTGATTATGCCTTGTTCCTTGCAGCCTCGCCAGAATCTCCTGCAGGCTGCCGGCCTCGTGGGCCAGACCAGCGGGGAGCTGCTGCAGCAGATCGGGGAGAGCGACACCGACCCCCGGTTCCAGGTGAGTGCACCCAGCAGCAACTGGGGACACCCACTCCCTAAATCCGTCAGCCTTTGCACAGGACCTGGCAGGAGGGCTCTGGGTTGAAGTGTGTCCGGTACCAGCGGTGACTTTGTCGGGGAGGCGACAGGCCATTGCCCATCTCTATCCCTAGTGCCACTGATATAACACCTCTTATCTTGTGGATTCCCGTGTAGATCCCAGAAAGCCGGTGTACTTGGATCCTGCCTGCCTCTGAACCAAAGACGGTAAAACAGGGCTGTAGGCATGGCTTGGTGGTCCCTGCTGTCTCCGACATGAGGGGTGCTCCTCTGGGAACTGTCATCTGAACTCTTTGAAGAAGGGCTCTTGAAAAATTCTGCTTTCCTGGCGATTGGCTCTCAGAAGTCCATACATTCGGGTCACTGCTTGGGCAAGTGCTGCTCTGGGAGTCCTCCCTTGCAGCTCCTGCCTGCTGCTCCCTGCCTGTGGGAGCTGCCTGCCTGCTACCCCCATCGGAGGCCCAGGATAGCCGGAGCCTTATGGGGAGATTTTAGATGAGCTGACTTCCAGCTGGCTGGCTTTCCCATGACTGCTCCTTCCAGCACAAGGGAGGTTAGCACACTGTGCTGGGCAGGAGGATCCAGCCGTAGTATAGTTCAAAACAGACTCCGGAAAGAAGAGGTTTCTGTTCATGGCAGCCACAGAGCCTCGACATGAGCAGAAAGGCCTTGACAAATATCCAAAGGGAACAGAAAAGCTAGCACCAGGGCAGGAAGCCATGCTCGACCAGGCAGCAGTGCCAGGACAAAGCATCCCCAAGGGGCAGATTTAGGACCTGGAAGACAATTTGCAGTTGTACAGCAGTAAGTTCTGCCTCACAGGTGTCAGACCCGAGTGTATCTACTTCCCTCCTTGGGCTCGGATGCAGTGGTTTGGGGACTCTGAAAATGGGTGCATGCTCTCTCCGATCTTTCCTCCTGTCGCAAAAGGTGGCGGATTGTAGCGAAGTAGTCTTGGCTTGCAGGAGGCAAGGGGATGCTGTGACACTTCTGGTTTGGTGGCTGGAGGTTTCCCTGTCAGGGAGTGTGGGGCCACTCGCTGTGAGCGCTCACAGCAGGAGGTTGGCAACAGGCAGAGAGCCCTGCCCTGCCCTACCAGGGTCTTCGCTCCAAGCATTTGGTGTTTAGCACTAATGCTGCCAGTTTTCACTGGCAATGTGCTGCAGGGGCTAATCCTGAGGGCTGCAGCGTCCTGTCATGTCTGATGCCCTGCAGGAAAGCAGTTTGCTGTATTGGTTACTGCTTGTTGTGTGCTAGCAGAGTGGCCTCATGGCTTTCCTGCCACCCTGGGGAGACGAGGCTGGTTGCGTTGTCATGTACCTCTCCTTTAGCCCCAGGAATAACAGCAGAGATGAGCCAACAAGCTAGAATAGAAAATAGCTGGCATGCCTGCAGTACAGGTGATGAGAGCATCTCCTGCTCACCTCTTGCTGGTGGGATGAGCCAGTGGTATGAGCCTGTAGACTGGCAGCTGCCCCCAGTGTGTCTGTGCCATGAATGGCTTGCACCTGCCATTTGACTGTAAGGGTTTGTCATTTTTTTGCTGTGTTCAAATGTTTGCAAATCCCATGCAAATCCAGGCAGTGCCAGCAGTACAATCAAGGAAGGATGGCTGCCTAGGGAGTGGGTGTTGGGATGATGCTGAGCATTGCCCGAGCTGCTGTGGGTAGTGTTTGTGGCAGTGCAGGCTGCCTCTCAGAGCCAGCTGTAGGACACAGAAAAGATGGGGTCAAGGTGTTGCCAGGTATTCGGTGCTGCTGGTGCTGGGACAGAGTGGATGAAAGGCCCCTGAGAGCTCACATTACCCCTCTGAATATTTCACGAGAGCCCTGCAGATGGCTGCGGCCATTCCCACTGCCATGGCTGCCTCGCTGACCCTTTGTGTCCCCTCCCAGGACATGCTTATGCAGCTGGCGAAGGCAGTGGCCAGTGCTGCTGCTACACTAGTGCTCAAAGCCAAGAACGTGGCTCAGAAAACGGAAGACGCAGCGCTGCAGACACAGGTGATCGCTGCAGCCACCCAGTGCGCCCTCTCCACCTCCCAGCTCGTGGCCTGCACCAAGGTAAGCAGCAGGGTTAACCCTTGCCTCAGCGTGGCTGCAAGCTTCACCTGGCGGGGGGGGCAGCTTCATGGTGGGGTCCTAGGTGTGCCAGAATCACATGTCCTAAGGCAGGACTTTGGGAGTGTGGCACAGGGAGTGTGGCTGCCTCTGACTGGGTCCCTGCTACTGTGCCCAAGCAAGGAGTACCCTCTTTGGAGGAGCAGAAGTTTGGGATAGCTGTCCCTGCCCAGCCCCTACAAGGAGCCTACCACACTCACTGCCCAACCTTTCTCCTCCCTTCCAGGTTGTGGCTCCCACAATCAGTTCCCCAGTCTGCCAGGAGCAACTGATTGAGGCTGGCAAGTTGGTGGCCAAGTCAGCTGAGGGCTGCGTGGAGGCCTCCAAGGCAGCCACCAGTGATGACCAGCTCCTGAAGCAGGTGGGGGTGGCAGCCACGGCTGTCACCCAGGCCCTCAATGACCTGCTGCAGCACATCAAGCAGCACGCCTTGGGCGGGCAGCCCATCGGGCGCTACGACCAGGCCACTGACACCATCCTCAACGTCACCGAGAACATATTCAGCTCCATGGGCGATGCAGGTGAGAGCAGCTGATGGCACCCACATTAGAGCATGGTGGATAGTGAAGTAGTGGGGAGCCCTTGGGGCTTGCTAATGGGCCACACTTCCATTCTGTTCCAGGGGAGATGGTGCGTCAGGCTCGTATTCTAGCCCAGGCCACCTCAGACCTTGTCAATGCCATCAAAGCCGACGCTGAGGGAGAGACTGACCTGGAGAATTCACGCAAGCTTCTGAGTGCAGCCAAGATCCTGGCTGATGCCACTGCCAAGATGGTGGAGGCTGCGAAGGTGAGTGCGTGGGGGAGGGTGGATGCTGGCTTTGGCCCCCAGCCCTGTCCAACACTGTTGGCTCAGTGCTGGGGAGGGGACGAGCAGCCCCTGTGTGGGGCAGCAGTTCCCAGAGTAAGGGACCTGTGCGGTGGGGTAGGCTCATCCCAGAGCTGTGGGTGGTAGCAGAGGAGCTGTTCCCTCTCCTGCTGCTGGGCTCTACTGGAGAGGCTTTGGACATCTCCCCAGCACCATAAGTAGCCAGGCTACCTTGTGGGGGACTCTGTGGCATCAGGCCAGAGCATGTGCTGCTTCAGGAGGACGAGGGACTCCGTGGTCCCTGCGAGGTGTGATGGGTTTTCTGCTCTCTCCAGGGAGCTGCAGCCCACCCAGACAGTGAGGAGCAGCAGCAGCGGCTGCGCGAGGCAGCAGAGGGGCTGCGCATGGCAACCAATGCCGCAGCCCAGAATGCCATCAAGAAGAAGCTCGTACACAAGCTGGAGGTGAGATGCTGGGCAAGGGTCTGTGGAGGGCAAACAGGCACAGTCAGCGAGCAAGGCCTGACCAGGAGCCCCCACATCCCTGCATTCTCCAGCAGAATAAAGTCCTTTTCAGGCACAGCATCTGTGCTGCATCATGCAGAGACCTCCCTTCCCTTCCCGTGTGTGCACCGTGTTACTTTGGGGCGCTGGGCATCGAGGGTGCTGGGGGTGCTCCAGTGTCACAGATATAGGCACAGGAGAAGTTGTTTAGGGCAGATGGGCCCTGGTGCGTGGGGGGTGGCTCGAGACAGACTGCCCTGCTGCCAGTGTTAACTCATGCCTCCCTGTGCCAGCATGCAGCCAAGCAGGCCGCCGCCTCCGCCACCCAGACCATCGCTGCCGCGCAGCACGCCTCCTCCTCCAACAAGAACCCTGCTGCCCAGCAGCAGCTGGTGCAGAGCTGCAAGGTAAGGACTGGGCCTGTGCTCCTCCCCATCCCATCTCCCATCAGCCACAGTGGACAGACAGGACCTTGGGGTCCTCACTCAGGCCCCCCAGGAGCTGATCCTTTGATTGCCAGTCCTGGGTTGGATCCATCTTCTTCTGACCATGGTTCTCCGGTGACCGTTTTTCTCTGGCAGGTGGTGGCAGAGCAGATCCCAATGCTGGTTCAGGGTGTGCGTGGAAGCCAGTCCCAGCCAGACAGCCCCAGCGCCCAGCTGGCTCTCATTGCTGCCAGTCAGAACTTCCTGCAGGTACCCACGCTGCCCAGAGCTTCCCATGCTGGCTCTGGCATTACAGCTTTCCTACCATGCTTGGCCCTCCTAAGATACTGGAGGACCTTCTGTATATGTTCAACTGACATGCTGCATGTTCATCCCCTTTTCACTGCTTTTTGTTTTGGCCTGACAGCCTGGTGGGAAGATGGTAGCTGCAGCCAAGGCCACTGTCCCCACCATCACGGACCAAGCCTCTGCGATGCAGCTCAGCCAGTGTGCCAAGAACTTGGCTGCAGCTCTGGCTGAGCTCCGCACAGCAGCCCAGAAGGTGAGAGGCTGGGTCTCCCATCCCACAGCAGGAGAGTGCAGCTGGCTGTGCAGAGCAGGAGAGGACAGTGGGGATAGCCCGGTGGCAGGTCGTGATATCTGCCGCAGCCAGGTGGGCTCAGTGGTCACCTTCTCACCTTCCCTTCTGCCCCATCACAGGCTCAGGAGGCGTGCGGACCCCTGGAGATAGACTCTGCACTGGGTCTGGTGCAGAGCCTGGAGAGGGACTTGCAGGAAGCCAAGGCAGCTGCCCGCGATGGCAAGCTCAAGCCTCTGCCAGGAGAGACGGTGAGGGCACAGGAAAGGGTGGCTCAGGGTGATGCAGGGTGGACTCTGAGGCAGCTCACCAACATGTCCCAACTCATCCTCCTGCAGATGGAGAAGTGTGCCCAGGACCTGGGGAACAGCACCAAAGCCGTCAGCTCCGCCATCGCTCACCTCCTGGGAGAGGTGGCCCAGGGCAATGAGAACTACACAGGTACTGGCCTCAGCAGCAGGGCTGGAAGAGGGGACACTGAGCTGACGGGCACTGACCTCTCCATCCCCACAGGAATCGCTGCCCGGGAAGTGGCCCAGGCCCTGCGCTCGCTCAGCCAGGCTGCCCGTGGTGTGGCGGCCAACACCTCCAACCCGCAGGCACAGAATGCCATGCTGGAGTGTGCCAGCGACGTCATGGATAAAGCCAACAACCTCATCGAGGAGGCGCGAAAGGCAGTGGCCAAGCCTGGTGACCCAGAGAGCCAGCAGCGCCTGGCCCAGGTGGGGAGAGTGGGTACCCCAGTGTGCCCTGTCAGGCTGTGGAAAGGATGTGAGGCTGGCTGGGAGATGGTGACCACTCTTTACTTCTCTGCAGGTGGCCAAGGCAGTGTCACAGGCCCTGAACCGCTGCGTTAACTGCCTGCCAGGGCAGCGTGATGTGGATGCTGCCATCCGCATGGTGGGAGAGGCCAGCAAGAGGCTGCTCGCGGATTCGGTGAGCCAAAGGGGGAAGTCTTGTGATGCAAGGCAGTCCAACTGCATCAGATTCCTCTAAGCATATCCCCAAGCATGTGCCATATTTTCAGCCTCCACCTCCATTCACCTTGCTGCCCCTCCTAACCGTTTACCTCCTTCCAGTTTCCTCCCAGCACCAAGAGCTTCCAGGAGGCACAGAGCCAGCTGAACCAGGCAGCTGCAGGGCTCAACCAGTCTGCCAACGAGCTGGTGCAGGCATCACGTGGCACCCCTCAAGACCTGGCCAAGTCCTCTGGCAAATTTGGGCAGGACTTCAATGAGTTCCTGCAGGCAGGAGTGGAGATGGCCGGCCAGTCCCCGGTGAGAGTAAATGCCTGTTGGGGTGTCCTGGGTATAGTGAGAGGTTTGGGATGCCTGAGGAGGTGGCTGACCACAGGTAGGGTGGCCAGGCAGTGGTGGTTAGTGTGGCTGTGGCCAATGCAGTTGGTGGGATGGGGTCTGGAGCTGTACAAAACCACAGCAGCAGGGAGAAGGTGGCTTGAGTTGGTTCTGTGAGAATTGCTGTCAGTGAAGAAGTTGGGTGAAAGGAACTGGCTCAGCTTGAAAATCACCAGAGAAGATCCAGGGTGGGTATGGACTTTGGAAACCTGCTGCAGATAACACTTCCTGGCTCCTTGCAGAATAAGGAAGACCAGGCACAGGTGGTGTCGAACTTGAAGAGCATCTCCATGTCCTCCAGCAAGCTGCTGCTGGCTGCAAAGGCTCTCTCTGCTGACCCTGCAGCCCCCAACCTCAAGAATCAGCTGGCAGCAGCGGCACGGTAGGAGGAACTGCTCCCTGAGAGCTGCTGGTCATAGCAGTGAGCCTAGGTGGTGAGGCAGGCGTTGATCCATGTGTCTTTTTCTCATGTCCCTGGCAGGGCTGTGACTGACAGCATTAACCAGCTGATCACCATGTGCACCCAGCAGGCCCCAGGCCAGAAGGAGTGTGACAATGCCCTGCGGGAGCTGGAGGTGAGAAGCTGCGTCTTGACGGGACAGTGGAGAGGCTGAGATGGTGGGGAGGGAGGAGCTCTGCAAGGGGCAGGAGGGAGCAAAGAGGAGTGCAAGTGAAGGATGCAGAACCTTCCTCTGGATGTGACACCCTTATCCCTGCAGACGGTGAAGGAGCTGTTGGAGAACCCCACCCAGACTGTCAATGACATGTCCTACTTCAACTGCCTCGACAGCGTCATGGAGAACTCCAAGGTGAGCCCTGATGTAGGAATGGAAGTTTGAGGAAAGACAAGAGGATTTGGGAAGGATGTGGGCGCAAAGGGAAGGTGGTTCCTCCTCCACTGACAAAAGCACAGTGAGCTCTGATCCTGGGAGCACCGTGGTAGCAGCGGATGGTGTCCGTAACCAGTGTGTGGTGTGTCCTGCAGGTGCTGGGTGAGTCCATGGCTGGCATCTCCCAGAATGCCAAGAACAGCAAACTGCCTGAGTTTGGGGATTCCATCAGTGCCGCCTCCAAAGCTCTTTGTGGGCTGACAGAGGCAGCTGCCCAGGTAAGACACACTCAGTCCTGAGCATTACCCCAGGTGCACAGTTGCCATATGCACCCCACCCCTGCCCTTACAAGCCTGTCCCCATGGGACAGTGCTGCCAGGCTCCTCTGCAGCGTATGCCTGCTCTGAGCTCCCGTGCTCTGTGCAGGCTCTCTCTTACCGCCTCTGTCATGCTCTTAGGCTGCCTACCTTGTGGGAGTGTCAGACCCCAATAGCCAGGCTGGACAGCAGGGCTTGGTAGACCCCACTCAGTTTGCCAGAGCTAACCAAGCCATCCAAATGGCCTGCCAGAACCTGGTGGACCCTGCCTGCACCCAGTCCCAGGTGAGTGTGGGGTGGGGCACAATTACAGGCATTTTCTTGCACTAAAAGAAATTGTATGTCTAGTTGGAAGAGCTGCATCCCAAGAGTTAGCCAAGATGGTGGTTGGTGTCTCATCAGGCCCCATCAACTGCACTAGGAACCAGCTGGCAACTTCAGTGCAGTGGTGACAGTCCAGATGCAGGGCTCTGTGGGCGTGCAGGACCTTGGTGATCCTTCTTGAGTCTCAGGAGAGACTCCTGTCATCATTAGTGCCCCATATAGGGTGGGCGGGAACAAAGAACTGTGGGGGTAGGGGGTCATGGTGGATTCTGCCTTACTCTGCTTTCCCCTGCAGGTGCTGTCAGCAGCCACCATCGTAGCAAAACACACCTCAGCCCTGTGCAACACGTGCCGCCTGGCCTCCTCCCGCACCGCCAACCCCGTGGCCAAGCGCCAGTTTGTCCAGTCGGCCAAGGAGGTGGCCAACAGCACAGCTAACCTGGTGAAAACCATCAAGGTGCGGTTTCCCTTCTGAGGCACTATGGTGGGGATGGGAGTTAGGGCGCAGTGGGGGTTGGATAACTGCTCTCGTCTCTCCACACCAGGCCCTGGATGGCGAGTTCAATGAGGAGAACCGGGAGCGGTGCCGTGCTGCCACCGCCCCTCTCATAGAGGCTGTGGATAACCTGACAGCCTTCGCCTCCAACCCGGAGTTCGCCACCGTTCCTGCCCAGATCAGCCCAGAGGTGGGATACTGCAGGGGAAGGGAGGATATGGCCTGCCTGTGACGGGCTGCTGTAGGGTAGAGAGGAGTTGTGCCTTCCCCGAACTTGGGATGGAGTCCCAGTGTGGGGCTGGTGCACTGAGGGGTTGCAATTGGGAAGGTTTTCAGCAAGCCTTGGCCTTCAAGGAGCTGGTCCAGGGTAAGAGTCACGGGAGACTTCCTATGCATGGTCCCTTACCTCACCATCCCGTTGTCTCCCTGTGCAGGGGCGCAGAGCCATGGAGCCCATTGTGTCTTCAGCCAAGACCATGCTAGAGAGCTCCGCTGGCCTCATCCAGACTGCCCGTTCTCTGGCTGTCAATCCCAAGGACCCACCGCAGTGGTCAGTGCTGGCTGGACACTCACGCACTGTCTCAGACTCCATCAAGAAGCTGATCACCAACATGAGGTGAGCAGAGTCCTGAGTGAGCATTCCTGAGGATGTTTTGGCTCATCATCTCCTTGGCCACTGCTGCTGAGGGGAGGCCAAGGGATGGGATTTTGTCCTGCCTGGGAGCTGCTCCTCCAATTCTCACACAGGTTGATGGGAACACATGCTGCTGTACCCAGGCTCTTATCACAGTGGGTTGCCCCAAAGCCCAGGAGAGGGGTCCTGCCCCTCAGCAGCACCAGCTGAGGCTTGGGGCAAAGGTATGGCATAGCACCTGCCAGCACTTGCCTGATCCATCTGTCACACAGGGACAAAGCTCCAGGACAGCGCGAGTGTGACGAGGCCATTGAGGTCCTGAACAGATGCATGCGGGAGGTGGACCAGGCCTCCCTTGCTGCCATCAGCCAGCAGCTGGCCCCCCGAGAAGATATCTCCCAGGAGGTGGGTCAGGGACATGCTGTAGCAAACCTAATGCGGTGGGCGTCCTTTCCCCACCTCTCAGCAGCATGCAGACCGCAGCCCTGCTGCAGCCTCACACAACACCCTCTCTTTGCACAGGCTTTGCACAACCAGATGATCACAGCTGTCCAGGAGATCAGCAACCTGATCGAGCCTGTGGCCGGTGCAGCGCGAGCCGAGGCATCGCAGCTGGGGCACAAGGTAACCGGGGTGTGGAGGCTGACAAGGCACTTGGTGCATGGGGAGGGGAGGTACGAGGCAGCTGGGGCTTGAAACTGCTGTTGCTAAAGCTGCTCTTCTCTATAGGTGTCTCAGATGGCTCAATATTTTGAGCCTCTCATTATGGCAGCCATTGGCGCTGCCTCCAAAACGCCCAACCACCAGCAGCAGATGAACCTCCTGGACCAGACCAAAACACTGGCTGAATCTGCCCTGCAGATGCTGTACACAGCCAAGGAGGCTGGTGGGAACCCCAAGGTGAGCATGGGCCTGTGAGGGACATGTGTCAGTGGTGCAGGATCCCTTTGGGGTGCATGGTGCACATGCATGTACCACACGTGAAAACCCCAGAGTGAGTGTGCAGCATCCCTGTTGGGAGGGGAGCCTTACCTTACCTCACTCTGGCTCATCCTTGCAGCAAGCTGCTCACACCCAGGAGGCTCTGGAAGAGGCTGTGCAGATGATGAAGGAAGCAGTGGAGGACCTGACCACCACCCTGAATGAGGCAGCCAGTGCTGCAGGTGTTGTAGGAGGCATGGTGGACTCCATTACCCAAGCCATCAACCAGGTGAGGGGAGCATAGAGAGGACCTGGCCAAGGCTGGGGTGGGGGAGAGAGGAAGAGTAAGGGTCAAACCTTACAAGGCAAAGACCTTGTGAGCCAGAGCTGGAGTCAGAGTCTCCTGATGGTCTCTTGCAGCTGGACGAGGGGCCCATGGGTGAGCCAGAGGGCACCTTTGTGGACTACCAGACCACAATGGTGAAGACGGCCAAGGCCATCGCTGTGACTGTGCAGGAGATGGTGGGTGCAAACAAGCCTGTCACTGCAGAATGCACTGCCTGCCACCCAGACAGGCAACCACCCTCCTTACCTTGTCCAACTCTTGCTCTGCTTCCATCAACAGGTCACCAAATCCACCACCAACCCAGATGAGCTGGGCACACTGGCCAATCAACTCACCAATGACTATGGGCAGCTGGCACAAGAGGCCAAGCCGGCTGCTCTCACTGCCGAGAATGAGGAGGTGCGAGCATGGGGGGTCGCTGGAATGTGGTGTGAGGCAGAGCAGGAGCTGCTGGGGTGTGAGAACAGAGGACAGAGACACTTGAACCTCCCATCGGAGCTGGGGGCGGCAGCATTCACACCTCCCCTGAAACATAGTGTGGAAACATGGAGCAAAGCCGTGTTTCCGTTTTCTGACTCCTGAGTGGGAGGATTGGGAAAGAGGAGCTGGGTGGCTGGTGGTTCCCAGCGGGTATCACAGATGCAGGGATAAGTTCCCTGCTGACTCTGTCATGCACACGTTCCTCCCAGATTGGCTCCCACATCAAGCGCCGGGTGCAGGAGCTGGGCCACGGCTGTGCCGCCCTGGTCACCAAGGCTGGAGCCCTGCAGTGCAGCCCCAGTGACGCCTACACCAAGAAGGAGCTGATAGAGAGTGCACGCAAGGTTTCCGAGAAGGTAGGTGGCCCAGAGGGAGGGGTGGCAGCGTGGTGAGTTGGGAGGGATGCTAGATTGAGCCCTGTGGCCTTGGAGCCACCATGCTAGGTTCTCCCATGGTCCTGTTGGGTTCTGCTGGCTCTCAGCCGTGCTTGCCCTGCCCAGCTGATGGGGTGAAGGATGGATCCCCCTCTGCAGGCACCATAAAAGCAGCTGGTGCTTGTGATGGGTGAGGTGTCCAGGTGCTGCTGACGTGCTGATGGCAGCCTGCCAGGAGAGTCTGATCTACACACTGGTGACAGCCCAGGGCTCTCCAAATCAGTGTTGGACAAAGCGTTTGTTGTGTCTCCAGCCAAGCTTGCAGCTTGTGCATTGTGTCCAGCAGTCAATCTAAAGAGCACTCTTCTGAATAACAGACGAAAACGTAGCTTAAAAGCTCTAGTTGATAGAGTAGCAGTGCTTGTAAGCAAAATCACAAAAGCAAAACAAACACTTGTCTATCATGCCTGGCACATGCCTGCATGCTCAGGGCATCCTGCAGGTCCTTCCTCTCCACGACTGCTTTCCATTAGGAAGCTTGTTCTCCTGTGAGTGCTTGCCCAAGTACAGAAAATGAGTTAATCAGCTAAAGAAGAAACAAGTTGTGTTGTTCTGATGCCTGTTATGCAAATTTTACTCATTTGAAAGCTACCAGCGTCCAGTATCTCCTGGACCAGCAAACACGATAGGTGCAAGGTAAAGATAAATAACTGGAAGCTAAGAAGGGGTGCCCAGATGAAACATTCCCAGTTCCTCTCCTTGGTATGGAGTGACTCCGTCCTGGGAGGTGTTGAAGGTGTGTGTGGTGAGGGTTCCCTGAACCTGCTCTGCTCCCCCAGTCACTCTACTCGTACCCCACAGGTTTCTCACGTGCTGGCAGCTCTTCAGGCTGGGAACCGTGGGACACAAGCCTGCATCACAGCAGCCAGTGCTGTCTCTGGCATCATTGCTGACCTTGACACCACCATCATGTTTGCTACAGCAGGAACCCTCAACCGGGAGAACTCGGAGACCTTCGCTGACCACAGGTACGTGAGCGCCTTGTTCAGCCTCTGCTCAGCCAGAGACCTCCCATCAGGCTCTGTTCTGTGATCTCCTGTATTTCTGAGTTGTGGACCAGCCACAAGGAGAGCTCCAAGCTCAGGTCATGCTGGCTCTGTTTCCCCTCCAGTTTGTACATACAAAATGCAAGATCCACAGTCTCTCTGTCCCCAAGGACCATGTGTGCAGTTGTTCTCCCTGACTCTCTTCTTCACCCCAGGGAGGGCATCTTGAAGACAGCCAAGGCGCTTGTGGAGGACACCAAGGTGTTGGTGCAGAATGCCACAGCCAGCCAGGAGAAGCTAGCCCAGGCTGCCCAGTCCTCTGTGACCACCATCACCCGCCTGGCAGAGGTGGTGAAGCTGGGTGCTGCCAGCCTGGGATCTGAAGACCCAGAAACTCAGGTAAGGAGGGGGTGTGTGGGCTGAGTTCCAGCTTGCTTGGAGGTGTTGAGGGTTGCAGGTGTCATGTGGTGCTCTGGGTTGGATCCCGTGTGTTGTGGAGAGGATGGGTTGGACTTTGACTGGTGCTGGCTGAGCTGGACTCCCTCTGTGCCCTGTGGTGCCTAAATCTCTCACTGCTGAGCCACCTGAGTGTGACCGTAGCTAAGCCATTCCCCTGGTCTTGCTCTCCCCAGGTGGTCTTGATCAATGCTGTGAAGGATGTGGCCAAGGCACTTGGAGACCTGATTGGTGCCACCAAGGCAGCTGCTGGCAAAGCTGGGGATGACCCTGCTGTCTACCAGCTGAAGAACTCTGCCAAGGTCTGTGCTGGGCGTGATTGGAGGGAGGGGAAGAAGCAGGGGGGCTGGAGGAAAAGCAGAAGAGTTTTCTGCCTGTTTGGGGGCAGAAGCACAACTTGGGGGCAGTCAGGACAAAAGAGGAGGAAGGGGCACATAAAAGGTGGGATACAACATGCAGAGCAGACATTGGTGGGAAAACAAGATGAGACAATGTGACTGGAGTATGGAGACAGAGCCATTTTGGACCAAACCACGAGAAAAGGACAGGTAGTGGCAGCAGGCCAGAGCTTGTGTGAGTGTTCACCCGGTTCTCCTTTTTTCTTCCACAGGTTATGGTGACAAACGTCACTTCCTTGCTGAAAACAGTGAAGGCTGTTGAGGATGAGGCCACGAAGGGGACACGGGCGCTGGAGGCCACGATAGAGCACATACGCCAGGAGCTGGCCGTGAGTAACAGCCAGAGCTGGCCGTGAGTAACAGCCAGAGCTGGCCGTGAGTAACAGCCAGAGGTGGCCGTGAGTAACAGCCAGAGGTGGCTGTAACAGCCAGAGGTGGCCGTGAGTAACAGCCAGAGGTGGCCGTGAGTAACAGCCAGAGGTGGCCGTGAGTAACAGCCAGAGGTGGCTGTGAGTAACAGCCGCGGCACTGTGGCTGCCACCCCACTCTGCTGCTGCCCTGTGCCTCACTGCCACCTCTCCCCTCGCAGGTGTTCTCCTCCCCTGTGCCTCCTGCCAAGGTCTCCACCCCAGAGGACTTCATCCGCATGACAAAAGGCATCACGATGGCCACAGCCAAAGCGGTGGCCGCTGGCAACTCCTGTCGGCAGGAGGATGTCATTGCCACGGCTAACCTGAGCCGTCGCGCCATCGCGGACATGCTGCGCGCCTGCAAGGTGGGGCAGGCAGGGGATGTGGGTCTAGCGCAAGTTTGTGGGTGGCTGTGGGTGCCAGCAGGGGTGGTGCTGGATGTGTCCCTGTCTCCGGGTTTCAGGAAGCAGCCTACCACCCGGAGGTGAGTGGGGACGTGCGGCAGCGGGCGCTGCGCTTTGGCAAGGAGTGTGCCGACGGTTACCTGGAGCTGCTGGAGCACGTGCTGGTGGTGAGTGTCCCCATCCCAGTTCCCAGGGTGGGCAGAGGCTGACCAGGTATTCCCCAGATCCCCAAGGTTCTCTGGGCTCTTCACCCCCTCCCCCTGACATCTTTGCACAGCCCCCTTCACTGCCTGTGCTGGCACAGCATGTGGCTGAGCCCCTGCCATGGAAGCAGATGTCAGAGAGCTCAACAGGCTCTGAAGAAAGGTATTTGTGTAACAACAGATGGAGATTAACTGGCCATAAACAGATGGAGGCTGGAAATTCAACAACACGGTAGCAAAATCCTGTAAAAGTGCAGCTTCCAGTAAAAGTGGTGGGAGTAAAAGATTTCAGGCAGTGAGAAAATAAAGCTTATTAAGGTCACAGCAGTGTGGGAGACGGGCACGTGTGGGAGATGGGCGGGCACGTGTGGGAGATGGGCAGGCACGTGTGGGACACAGGCAGTGCCTGCAGTGGCAGCTATTATGACTGCAAGCACCCACTGCACTGTTGATCCAGTCTTCCTCTGACTGAGTCCTCCCAAGGACTTCAGCTGCAGCATTAGTTTACAAGAAGCAAATTAAGACTAGCAGAAAAGAAAGGTAGAAAAGATCCAGTGAGATCCTTCCAGCAGTTTGCATTCTTGGCAAGATCACAGAAGTGGAGTTGGGCACTGTGGGGATGCACATACCCAGCCCATGGAGCTGTCAGATCCCTCCCTTTGTCCAGGGTCAGGACAAAGATAGAGGGCAAGTCAGCTCTGTGTCAAGGTTTCACTAAGCTGGTTAGTGAGAGTCCAGGATCACTAGATGCAAGGTGGTGGAGCCCAGACTCTGGTTTCCTGCAGGGAAAGCCCCTTTAGGCAGAGGATAACCAGCACTGGCAGCAGAAGGAGGAGGTGGGCAGGAATCAATGGCTAGAAATGGAAGCTGAAGCAGAGGAGAAGTCAAAGGGTGGTTTTATTCAAGGGAGGTAACCACTGGGGTACAGTTCCAAGGGGGGCAGTGCGTTTTCCGTCCCCTGCATCTAGATCAAATATCTATCTGGAAGATGCTTCAGGCACATGTGAATCATGGCAGCCAAGGCTGGAGTGCTGAGCAGAAATTCTCTGGCTGACCTGTTGTTAACAGATGATTAGGCTAATGACTTAGCGTGGCAGTGCCTAAGGTCAGTCTACTTGCAGGAGCACGCCATTTCCCTGTATTTTGGGTGTTACCGTCCTGCTACTATGCAATGTTTTGAGTATCATACATTGGTACATCTCTTAAAATGGTCACTGGAGGTGCATCTTAGTCAGCTCATAGCCTCCGGGGTGCCTTCAGCTCCAGACAGAGACCATTTAGCAGTTTTAAACACGTTGTCAGAGCAGACAGCAGACTTAATAATCTGGTGTTTAGGCTGGATGTGCTTATGAGGGCAAAGTAGCCGTCACCATGTGTCATCATCTCAGGTACTCCAAGCCACATGCAGCTGTGAAGACTGCTGGAAGGGCTCCATGCAAGTCCAGGATAAAGCCATGACTCCCCCAGCCTCCAGAGCACTCTGGTCTGTGAAGGCAGGAATGGAGCTCATGGGCCCTGTTTATCAGAGGGCAGCAGGTTCCTGGAAAGCCGCAAGCAGGAAGGATCTAGGGGAGTGGGAGGGGAAATGGCAGATGGGGTGCTGCCTCATTCCCCAGCAGCAGCAAGTTCATTGCTGTACACTGTGTCCCCAAGGGAACCAGTATCTTCTGTGGAGCATGAACAAGCGTGGTTAAGGTTCAAGAATGAGGGTTATTTGGCTCAGGCTGGGAAATGTGGCTCCCGGCAGAGGAGTGGGAAAGCCTGCATGTTTCACTGGGGAGGGGAAGGAATTTGAACCTCCATGGGGACTTGGTATTTGGTAACAATAGGTCTCTCCCTCGGAAAGCAGAGAGATCCAGTGGCTGAAAACTGCAGTGAAGCAACTCAGAGTGGGGAGAAATGAGGTGTAAAGGGGGTGAGGAGGAGAGCTCTGAGTGTATTTGGCTCCTCCGGCCATGAGAGCCTCATCCAGGTGCCTGGTCTTGCCCTGCCCTGTAAGGCTGAAGTATGAGCTGACGATGGCAGCACAGCTCCCCACCCAGAATCTCTGATCCTTCGTTGGCATCTCTCCTTTTGGCTGCCCTTCATCCCTCACCGAAAAACACCCACCTTCCCCTGCCCTCCCCGTGCCCCAGCCCCAAGCGCCCGCGTGTCCTGGCTGGGCTGTTCACTGCTTTCTTTTCTCTCTTCTCCCTCCCTCCCTGTCAGCCGGTGAGTAAGGCAACGTTGGGGTGCCTGCTGGTCTCTAACCTCAGCATGAGCCTTGCTCACGGCTTGTCTGTGTGCCCAGCCCAGTGCTGGGGTGGCACTTGGTGTGTGTCCACAGGGACCCCGTGTCCATGTGTCTGTGTGTGTGTACTCACACCTGCTCTAGCTGGTGGGCAGCTGCTGCCTGTGGGGTGCGAGTTGGGCCAGCAGTGAGCTCTGCTTGTTCGTACAGACCCCATGTGTGTGCACACATGTGCTGTGGTGTGTGCATGTGTCCCCCTGAGCTGGGTGAAGGACCCTTAAGGCACTGCCTGCCACCTTGTCCCAGTGGGGCCAGTCTTCCCAGGCTGGGACGTGGCTCCAGGGTATCCCCCTTTGCCCAGCTTGTGTTTGCAGACAAATCTCCAAAATGGCGGGGTGGGGGGAAATGCTTCTGGAGCTTGAAATGATTTGCAGGAGAGAAATATTGGAGTGGGTAACTGCTGAATGCAGGAAGGCTTGTGCTGAGGGTCTTGTGTCTGCGAGATGTCCCAAAAGCTGTGGATGTGGGAAGGCCATGGGGAAGCTCATCCCGTCGTGGGGCAGGAAGATAATAGCCAGGGTCGCTCGACAAAGCATCTCAGACAGTGCCTGATGTGTACAGATGTGGGAGGGTGATGGGGGATCCCACCCTCCTGCTCTGAGGAGCACACCCCAAACAGCCCTAGGAAGTCCCCGTTTTCCAGGTGCTTACATCTGCTCCTTCCCCGCAGATCCTGCAGAAGCCGACTCACGAGCTGAAGCAGCAGCTGGCAGGCTACTCCAAGCGCGTGGCTAGCTCTGTCACCGAGCTCATCCAGGCGGCCGAGGCCATGAAAGGTAAGGAAAGATCCTGCTCAAAGGGGCAGGATCGAGGGCTGGGATTAGGGTGGAGGGCTCAGCAGCTGATGGAGGAGGTAGGGCGAGTCAGAAATGAGGCTGCACACAGGTGTAACCTGCCTCGCTTCCCGGTGTTCCTAGGGACGGAGTGGGTTGACCCAGAAGACCCCACTGTCATTGCTGAGAACGAGTTGCTGGGGGCAGCAGCCGCCATTGAGGCTGCAGCCAAGAAGCTGGAGCAGCTGAAGCCAAGAGCCAAGCCCAAGGTAACAGTGCTGAGCCTTGTCTGACCCTGCTCAGCTTGAGGTGGGCTGGGGCTCTCCTGCCTGTGCTTTAGCCAGGTTTGAAGTCCCATCTGACGGCTGGCCCCTCTCTCAGTACTCCCACTGCCTCCCACATCCCCAGCTGGACCTTCCTCAGGCAGCCCACGCCCTGCTGCACCCCACAGGCCTTAATCCAGCTTTGTATGTGCCCACTCAGCCCCCTGCAGCCATCATCCTGCTCTGCTCCGTCTGTCCCAGCACCCCTGCCTAGGATTCTCACTCTGCTTTTGCCTACAGCAAGCAGACGAGAGCCTGAACTTCGAGGAACAGATCCTGGAAGCTGCCAAATCCATTGCTGCAGCCACAAGCGCCCTGGTGAAGGCAGCCTCAGCAGCCCAGCGGGAATTAGTGGCCCAAGGAAAAGTAAGGCCATAAGAGGGGAAGAAATAAGAAAATGTAGGGCTGTGGTGGGTTCTCTCTTCTCCAGGGGCTGCCTGTAACCCTCATGCCCCATGACAAGAGGTGCCCAGGGTGCTAAGCCTCAATCCTCTCCTTCCTTACAGGTGGGCGCCATCCCAGCCAATGCAGTGGATGATGGACAGTGGTCCCAGGGTCTCATTTCAGCTGTGAGTATCAAGGTCACACTCAGGAATAGAGGGGGACCTTTCTCTTGGCTCCTGCTGCAAAGACGAGGATGCTCTGCCCTTGTGCTTTTCCTCTGCAGAAGAAGCAGCCATGCTTCTTGCTCCCTCTCCCCCGTGCTGAGACATGGCATGGATGCTGGTTCTTGCCATCCCATGCCACACAACCTCCTTGGGGCCGATTAGGGCTCCTGTACCCCCCCTGACAGCCTCTCTCCCCACAGGCACGCATGGTGGCTGCTGCCACCAACAACCTGTGTGAGGCTGCCAACGCAGCGGTGCAGGGCCATGCCAGCGAGGAGAAGCTCATCTCGTCCGCCAAGCAGGTGGCTGCCTCCACAGCCCAGCTCCTGGTGGCCTGCAAGGTGAAGGCTGACCATGACTCAGAGGCCATGAAGCGGCTCCAGGTGAGTCCCAGGGCTGCCCCTCCAGCCCCACCTGCCTCCTCCCAGTTGCTTGAGGGATGGATGTGAGTGGACTGTGGGTACTCTCCAGGACTCGTGCTCCCTGCCTGTGTGCCATCAGCAGGGAGTTCATAGGCTCCAGGTTGCTTGGACTTGACTGCTGGCTGCATACTAGGTGTGTGAGTGGTGCTGGGCTGCTCGGCCTGGCAGCATTCAGGGATGATGAACTGGCACAGGAATGCCTGAAGTGGGTGCACTGCATCACTGGCATTCGAGAGGTTAATGTTTGGGGGGCATGTTTTGTAGCACCCTTAATTGTCAGAGGCCATGGCACAAAAGAGGTTAATGCCCATCCATTTCGGGGTTAACATGGGGTCTCAGCACCTCTGGGGCCAAGTGCTGGGGAGAGTCAACAGGGCTGCCTACCAGTCCCTGCCCCACTGCTCGGACAAGAGCCAGAGCCTGGCTGGGAGCAGCAGAGCCTGAAATGGTCATGAGCGGGTGGCAAGGCAACGAGCCATGTAAAGGAATCCCTGCCTGCAGCTCCTAGCACTCTTGGCTGCCTGTCCTGACTGCTGGCCCAGCCTGGGGCAGGGGTTCCTTCACACCCCCGGGCAGCAGTCATACCCTGGGGCTGTGATTTATGCTGACACTCCCCACTTCCCTGCTGCAGGCCGCTGGCAATGCTGTCAAGAGAGCGTCGGACAATCTGGTGAAGGCAGCTCAGAAGGCAGCTGCCTTCCAGGACCACGATGAAACGGTGGTGGTGAAGGAGAAGATGGTCGGGGGAATTGCACAGGTGAGGAACAGGGCTGCTCCAGTGGGGCAGGAGCAGCTCTGGGTGCCACCACAAGCTGTGTGTGCCTGTCTCAGGAGTGTGTCCTACCATGGGTCATGTCTCCAGAGAGCCTCACAAAGATGCTGTGGATGTACCCATCCCGCCCAGCACCCAAACAGTATGACTTCACCTTGTCCTGCCACGAATAGCAGTGGGGGATGGTGCACACTCCTTGGAGTGTAATGCCCTGGGTTCTCCTTGTGCAGCACTGACACTATCCCAGTGTCTGTTGACACACATGTGAAAGACAGAGCATTGAGTAAGGGATGAGACCTGCCTGGTATTGGGTGCCACAGGTCCCAGTGCTGCCTCTGTGCAGCTGAGATCCGCTACAGGGCACATGGGGCTGAGCCCTGGAAGCCGTGCTTTTCTGTTTATCTCTGGAGTACCATGCTCCCACCCCAGGGGCAACAGCCCTCATGCCCCAGGAGGCTGTGGCTGTGACGGGAGGGAAGTAGCAGCCAGAGAACCTGGCTCAGGGGTTGGCATGGCTGGAGCAGAAGCTCCAACCATCCCTGTGGGAGGGCAGCTGTGACCCCAGGGCTCTCTCCCGTCAGATCATCGCTGCCCAGGAGGAGATGCTGCGCAAGGAGCGGGAGCTGGAGGAAGCGCGGAAGAAGCTGGCGATGATCCGGCAGCAGCAGTACAAGTTCCTGCCCTCGGAGCTGCGGGACGAGGAGCAGAACTGAGCCGCACGCCCTCCTGCCCACTGCACAGACTGCTGCCCGCCCGCCTGCCCGCTCCTATTTAAGACGACCCGCCTCAAGCGGAGGGCTGCCTGGGCTAGACCAGAGCTCTGCCCACACCCACAGTGATGGGACTAACCCAGCTGCCCCTCCAAGCTGGCGCCGCACCAGCAACTCCGCTTCGCTGCCCAGCCCACCTTCCTATGCACACCCAAGGCACAATCAGAGCGCTCGGAGGGACTCGGTTGGGGTGGGAGCCGGGGCTGCACTGGCTCAGGGCTCACCTGCCAGCCCCGGGGTTTGGGCCCACAGAGCTCTCCACTGCAAGGGGATATTTACTTGTGCCTTCCTCATTCCCATTCGTGCCCCTTTCCTCTCTCTCCTCCGCGCGGGACGGGGAGCGGCAGGGGGCTGGCCCTCTCCTGTGCGATGGCGTGCAGGGAGCAGCATGGTCCCTCGCTGAGCTCTCATGCGGAGCTGCCTTTCACCTCCAATGCCTTACTGTTGGCTGAACCTTCCTCTTCAGTTTCCCTGGGAGGCACGGAGGCTCCCCCATGAGCATCCTCTTCAGCCCGGGCCCCTCTGGGGAGCAGCAGGGCTGGAAGCCACAGTGCCTCTGCTCAGGATGGGGGGTGATGCGATGAGTTCACCCCCAGAGCTGTTCTCTGCCTTCCCGCGGAGCTTCTCCCCGCCCGCGGCCCCAGCCAGCTCTGCCTTCCTTCTTCCCAAGTGCCTGCATTGTTTTCCAAGATCTACAGTATTTTTGTAACTTTTCCATTTCTCTAGTATTGAGCCTGCAGCTTTCAAAGTTCATATATTTCCCTGCCAGCTTGTGCCCTGCCCACTAACACCAGCTCTCGCCGGGGTCCTGTAGCCCAGTATCCCACCCCTCCTCGGCTCCGGGACCCCCGTCCCTTCCCCTTTGCACTTGCTGAGGCTTCTCTCACTATTTTGATACTTTAAGCATCCCATATTAAACACTGAAGGAAACCAGCTCCCCCCGAGCCTCCGGGGTGGGGTGGGGGATGCCTCCTTGGAAAGATGCATTCATCAATAAAATCTGGTTTTCCTGCACTATTGCCAGCTGGGTATGAACGAGACCCCCCAGGAGACGGGAAGAGCAGGGGGGCCATGGGCGCTTGCCCTCATAGCAAAGGCAGGGGGGAGTGTACCACGGGTGGTTATACAGCATGGAAAATATTTAAGGCACGTCCAGCCCCAGGCACCCGGCAGGCTGGACCCCCGCTGCCAGCCATGTGCCGGCCTCGCAGGTGCTGCCGGGGGGCCACCGCCACAGGAGGGGGCCCTGGGGATTTTGTTTCTGGGGGATTTGGGCTTCAGGGAAGGCAGGGGGGTGGGGGAAGTATGTGTGAGTGGAGCTGGGCTTCTGGCCCCATTCCTGCTGCAAGCTGAGTATACCCCTGGGTAGGGTGCTACAGGGGTGCAGGTGGGGGACTCCCAGTCACTAGTGGCCCAGTCTTTGGGCCTCCACTGGCAAGGCAGAAGTCTTTGGGCCTCCACTGGCAAGGCAGCAGTCTTTGGCATGGTGTGGATCTGGGAATGTGGCTGGAGCCCTCCCGGCTGCCGGCGCTGAGCTCACGCCCCGAAATAGCCCCCCGGGGCCAACCTGTGCGGGCAGCAGCTGCCCCAGCGTGTCCCCACCTGTTCCCACCCCATCACTCAGCAGAGATTTGGGGGGCCTGTGTGGCGGCGGGGCAGGCAGAGATGCTGTGGGGTGCAGGGGGGACGTGGGCAGGGTGGCACATGTCCCCTGCCTCTGGGACCTGTCCTGGCAGTGTGAGCCACAGGCATCATCAGTGGCAAGGGCAGCATCCTGCAGTATCTCAGCCAGTGACCCCTGTCTCCTGGGCACGTCCCTGGGGGTGTGGAGGGGCTGTTCCCCGCCAAGACACTCAACCCTGGCCAGGCTCCAAGGTGGATTTGTGGCTCTCACAGGCATCCCAGTCCTCCCAGCTGTCCCCTGACAATCTGTGATGGCCTGAGCCGGCACCAGGCTCTCACCCAGGTACTAGCTGGGCATGGGGCCCTTCTGAGCAGCCAGCAAGGACACGGGGCACAGCATGGCAGCAGCCCCAGCCTCATCCTTGCATCCTGGGGTCAAGGGAGCTCCAGCACCACCAGCACAGGGCTGCAAGGACATCCTCTGCCTTTTCCTCCAGTTTGGGTGCAAGCAAGGGGTGGTGGCACAAACACCAGGGGAGGGACATGGGGGGTGATTAACCCCCCATCCTCTAAATCTCACACATCAGTCAAGAGGTTATTTTGGTAGGCAGGTTAAGGAAAGGACATACAGATGTTTGGAGCTGGGATGACAGTCATGAGGTGCCAGAGCCTCTGCAGGAACCCAAATCCAGCTAAGTTGAAGGTGAACGGGGAAGCCATGTCTCAACTTCCTGGGGAGCCCAGGAATGGGGTGAGAGGCTGCAGCATGGATTGCACCTGGGAAGGTCCCATTAGTTTTCAGGACAAGCCTTTCCTTGGGAGTAAGGTCAGACTCTAGAGTGAAAAACGGAGGGTATCACCATCCTTGGAGACCTTAGCCCAGGACAAGCCTGGGCATGGGGCAGCAATGGAAGGGATGTGCACCCACACCCCTCTGCACGTTCTTGTCCCAGAGGTTACCCCAGAGGATGGGCTTAAGGGCAGACTTGTGGGCCTCTACACCTGGATGGTTCCAGTTGTGCCGTCAGACACCTGGAGCAAAGGGAAGGGGGCAGCAAGGGAAAACAGCATCCTTTGGGGGCACATCTGAGGGCTGGCCTGGCTCCAGGGCAACTTCCTGGCTGCTTGCACCATGCCCATCATTGTCTTTCTCCCATGGGCTGAGCCCACGGAGTTGCCCCAGGCTGAAACATCTCGCAGAAAACCAATTATTCTCTCCCGGGAATGATGGGAGACGGATCTTCCTCCTCCCCTTAGAAGCCGCATGCTGGCAGTTACAGATTCTCCTTGTCCAAATATGTGCCTAATTCGTCAGTACTAATTGTTGCTCTCCAGAGTCCAGCAGTGGCTCTTCTGCTTTCCCCATGGAGCCAGCAGCCCCTTGGTCCTTAGCTGCTCCCATCCCTCCTACGCCCCCCACCATCTGGGCCTGAGGCCTCCTAGAGAGCCACTTTCTCCAGCTCAAAAATTTTCTGCTCCTCTCTGCTTGGAGCACTGGTGCCGAAAAGTTGCGTCAGTCAAGGGCTGGCTGTGGCCCAGGGGCAATGGGCTGGGGGAGCCTGTGCACCCCTCATGTCCCCATCCCATCCCAGCCTCCCCACGTGCCACACAGCTCTCGTGGCCCCTCCGCCAGCTCCTTCCAGCCCCCCCCTCCGACCCAGAGCCCACCCTGCAGCTGGGAATGTGCCAGAAGCATTTATGATCGTTATTAAAGCACAGGTTATTTTTGGAGGAGCTGGGATTTGAACGTTTTGCATTTTTTTGCCTGTGGAATACAGTTTATTTAGAGCAGAAAGACGAAGAGGGGCAGCGAGCTGCCCACATGCCCTGTGTCACCCTAAAATGCCACCCTATGGGCTGTGCATGTGCCAGATGTCCCTGAGAGTGCCAGGGACAGTGGCACTAAGGTGCAAGGCAGCAGGGAGGTGGGTGCCGAGAAGTCTACACAGAGCTGGGGCCCCCTTGCCCCATCAGCAGCTGGATGGGGATGTCAGGGGTTCCATTCACTTCTCTCCTGGGGGATTTTCCCCATGTGGGCAGTGCCAGTCCACTGCGTCCCTCAGTGCAATCACAGCCCATGGTTGCCCCTGAGTGCAATGACAACCTAAATATGTCCCCAAGACTTCAGTGCCTGACGTTCCCAAGTGCCATGCCAGCCCTTGAAATGCCCCTAAACCAGTGCCAGCAAGCAGGGTCCCTCAGGCCCCACGTTGCAGTGACCGGGCATGTGGTTACCTGTGGCAGTGTCAGCCACGTCATGTCCTCTCGCGTGGGGACTGCTTTGACCTTTGACTGGAGTCAGTGCCACCGGCATACCCCTAGCTCAGTGCCCCAGGATGTCCTTTGCTCGGTGCCACTGGGGTTCCCCTGGCACAGCGCTACGGAGTGTCCCTCAGCCAGTGTCCTTGGGGTAGCACTAGGGCATCGCCCCGGAGTGTGCATCGCCCAGTGCCACCGGGGTACCCGCAGCACAGTGACCGGGGGTGCCCGGCGCCGGGGCCGTGGCAATGCCCTCAGGGGGTGCTGCCCCCCCGTCCCGCTCGGTGCGAGGGCCAGTGGCGAGCCTGTCCCTAAAAGGTGCTGGCGGGCGGCGGGGGAGGCGCCGGGGCCGACCCTGCCCAGCTCGGCCCCTCCCCAGCTTTTAGACGGCGCGGCGGGGCGGGGAGCGCAGTGCCGGTGCTCCCGCCGCTCCCGGTGCTCCCGCCGCTCCCGGTGCTCCGCGTCCCGCTGCCGTCCCGCGCCCCGCCGCCGACCCACCGCCACCATGGAGGCCATCAAGAAGAAGATGCAGATGCTGAAACTGGACAAGGAGAACGCCATCGACCGCGCCGAGCAAGCGGAGGCTGACAAGAAGCAGGCGGAGGACCGCTGCAAGCAGGTGGGTGTCCCGCGACCTTCTCTGGCATTGCCTCGGGACCCTCTGCTCTAGGGGTGGCCAGCCCAGGGGACCCCATTCTGCTGGATGTCCAGCCCAGAGATTCTCTGCCCTAGGGGTGTCCAGCCCTGGAGCCCCTGTCCTGCTGGATGCCCAGCCCTGGGGACCCCATCCCTCTGATTGTCCAGCCTTGGGATCCTCCACCCAGCCCCAGGGACTTCCCCACAACGGGTGTCCAGCCTGGAGTCCCCTGTCCTAAGGATGTCCTGCCCCAAGCACTGTGCCCCACTGGGTGTCCTGCTTGTGGATCCCAATATAGGGATTGCCAGCCCCAGAGACCTTACTTCACTGGGACCCCATCCCAAGGGGCCTCACCCCCTATAGGCCTGTCCCTAGGGTGCAGCACTTCAGTCCATTTTCCCTGAGCCCTCACACTGGTCCCCCCAAACATGCCTTATCTCAGCAGGACATCCCAGTGCCACCTCCCTATTCCTGTGCCAGGGAGAACCCTGGGGACTGCAATACTCCCACCCCACTGACACGGATATAGGGACACAGATTGGCATTCCCCAGAGCTGTGTCCCCAGGTCAGGAGCTCTCCAGTCCCTTACACAGGGAGGAAGACCACCCTCCCCTTACACCCACCAGGCTCAGGCATGCTGGGGGGGACAAGAGCATCCCAAGGAGATGTAGATCCAAAGCTGACAGAAGGAGCATGTCCATGTTCTCCTGCTGTGCCCCCACACCCTGGGTGTCACCAGGAGGAGGGTGGCCATCCCCTTTCAGCCTTGCAGACACCACCATCCGTCCTGACCCTTGTCCTCTGTCCTTTTCCCAGCTGGAGGAGGAACAGCAGGGCCTGCAGAAGAAACTGAAGGGCACTGAGGATGAGGTGGAGAAGTATTCCGAGTCTGTCAAGGAGGCCCAGGAGAAGTTAGAGCAGGCAGAGAAGAAAGCCACAGACGTAAGTAGGCACGCCAGCAACTCCTCCCCCGTGCGGGCGGGCGCTGGACCTCGGCAGAGGGGGCGGCGGTTAAAGAAAGAGGGGGCCCTTATATGGAAAGCGTCCGAGGGGAAGACTGTCAGGATCCCATTCCTGCGATGCTGACACCGAACTGGGCTGATGGGTCCTGTGAGGGGTGCAGGGGCCAGGCCAGCTGTGGTGGGCAGTGCTGGAGTGGCTGATCCTGTCTGGAGCTTTGCGGGCAGCCGACAGCCTGGCTCCCCAAAGCTAATGGGGACAAGTGTCCAGAGGTGTGTCACAGGTCCCCAGGCACGCACCTCCACAATGCTCTTAGGAGAACTGTGGGGCTTAACAGGCAGTGGCAGAGCAGGGAAATGGTCAAATCTCTTGCTGTGCTTAGCTGCTGAGTGCTGGCTGCAAGGAAAAATGTTCGGGGTGCGTGGAAGGGGACTTTGGGTGGGATGTGGGTGCGTGGATTTGGGGTCCAATGTGCCACCTTGTACCCTGGGAAGGGCAAGGCCAGGAAGAGTTTTATTTAGTGCCATGACTGAT